TCATCACTCTTCGTCAGGCGCCAGCCATTGTATTCATAGTCCATCACATTCTCCAATGCCTGCTCCAAGGTCTCATTATCGTCCGCATGCAACAGGCCCAGTTTCGCATTGGTGGGGTTTTCGTTTGGAGACGATGGGGCAGAAGAAAGAAATTCTGACTTGGACCTTTTGTGAACTGGTGACGGCGTATCCAGTTCAATGACACCACGAGGAGCCGAACGCAATGACTGGAAAACAACCTGCTCCTTTTTGACTTTGATACTCGCCTTCTTATCAATATCCCAGTTGGTCCATCCCATGCTGGCACGATCGGTGTCCACGTTCACTGGGTCGGAGCGAGTCTCGCGAGCGGAAGGCATGCCCGTCATGGTACCTGAGTAGAACAAGAACTATGTACGCACATCGTTGGACGGAAGATCACGACAACTGGAAAGAAATCCAAACATTGCAAAAGAGAAAGACAAATAAAGGCAGCTGAGACACTCGGCAGACTCCATCTTCAGTTCTTATGCACTTTCTGGTGTGCGTGGCGGCGAGTATGGCCACCACGCTTCTGGCGGTGTGAGTGGTAACGCGCCCGGAGGTGGCGGACCCGGCGGTGTGCCGGGCAAGAAGCCGGTGGGGTTGGAGGTGGTGGCCCTGGCGGTGTGCCAGGGATTGCTCTCATTGGCGTCAGGGGCACCATCTCGCCAATCTCCATGGGAATGTCAAGCCTGAGGCGGTGAAGGTTTGCAAAAGACAGGGTCACAATATAACAGCAAGAAGCGTAAATACATTCAGTTTTCTCCAAGATGCTCCGACTCATCAGTTGGTGCTTCCGAAGCCGTCATAACCACAGACTCGAATTCCCAGGTGGTTGCTCCCGTTGTCTCAGCAGTGGCCATGGACATGTCTGACCTGATGCGAATATGGTTTGCGATGCAGGGAACAAACAAAATGAAAAGACAGCAGCCAGAAGCAGTGGTATGTTTATGTTTTTTTATTGGCAAGATGCGCAGAATCGTTGCCCGCGACGTCAGCGACCTCTTCAGTGGGCCTCGTGGCAAGAGATAGAAGTACGATTGGGCTTGGTTGGATGAGTGGCTCATATACTTGCTTTAACTTCTGCTCACTGCAAAGATGAATGCATTTGCGAAGCGGCTAAGCTTATGACTCTCCGATGTAGTGTTTTGGCTTGGCAAAAGCAATAGGGCAAGGCATAAACGGCATTGCCACAAAGGTGAGGAAAAGCGAAGAGATGACACAGGTTGATGAGAAACAGCTTGTGGAACAGTAATTAGTAATTACAATTGAATCCAATGGACATCTAATAAATCCAAAGCTTTACACACCACAGGGAAGGTCTCCATAGTCCTGATGGTTTGGAAGCTTTTGAAAACAACAGTTTCCATAATTTCCAAAACTGTCAGGATTTAATGTCACAAAGCCTTTATTGTTTACTAAAAAAAATGGTGCCCAAAATATGCAATTTTTACTGTAAATATCAATGAACCAAGAATTTGGGTGTTTTTTTTGGGGGACCATATATTTATACCAAGTGTTAACGCGAGCAAAACGGCAATATGAAATAATTACAGGTGGACATCTACATGTCAAGACAAGACACATGAAAGCATTGCCGTACTGTGTCCAAAGAAACACGAACAAGCCTGAAGAAAACAAAAAGGTATTGCGGAACAAGAAGCTACTAGGGGCTCCCGGCCTTACTACTAGGAACAAGAAGCTTCTAGTAGGAAGGTGCTTTGTGGCTCCCCGACCACATGGCTCCTGAGCAACAAAAGAAGCTTGCAGCCTCGGTGCAAGTGGCTGGGAACGAAACTGCCGGGAAGTTGCGCATTGAGAGTCTGCGTTGCAAAGTAGGTGGGAAAGTGTGGTTCAGTTGAGTGCGACATTAATATGTGTAGGCCCGAAGCAAGATTCACACATAAGGGCCTGGCAGCACCTAGCGTTTCCTTCAAAATACAGCACTGAGCGGCTGGAAACGGTCTTTCTATCAATGCGCCAGGGCAGCTGCAAGGCATGCCAAAGCCTTGCGCCCATAAAAAACCCTACAGTACCTTTTGAGCTGCCAGCGGGCTTGCCAAGTCATACAAGTGTTATAGGTCAAACACCATTCAAAGCAAAAAATGCACGCATCATCATGCATCCTACTTCGAGAAAAAAAAACAGGATAGTGATTGCTTCTAGGTTGGAGGCCATCGCTAGTAGGTTGGAGGCTATTGCTACTAGGAACAAGAAGCTACTAGTAACAAGTGCATCGCTTCTAGTAACAAGTGCCTTACTAGTAGTAACAAGAAGCTATTAGAATTAAGTTTAATTAGAATGATTGGTGATCCCAATTCGCTCGGATCCACACAGCGCAGTCCGCGGCCAGGCGATTCCCGAAGCTGGCTCCGCAGCGCTGCGACGGCAAGGTGACATCCACCAAGCCTCAGGGCACCCGGAAAGTAAGTAACTGGTAGTACAGGTATATAGATGTAAATAGTATACATAAATATACTAATCAGTACTTTAGTAGTAAAAAAAAACTACTAGTTAGCTCCGAATAGTAAGAAGATCTAATAAGTGCTAAAGGAATCAAACCTGAACATTGCTTAGAGTTTAGAGGATGGCCAGCTCAGCATGTACCCTTTTCGGTTGTCCGAGACTTTCCCATCATTGGAGGCTCTCCATGGTCTAATGTGATACAAACTGTAGGCGATCAAAATCAACCAACTTAAATGCGCCTTTGAAACTTCTTAAAACCACTGGCAAATGGAGCACCGATCACAGTACAGCAAACCTACTATTTGCTGTTCCACTTGATTTCCCGAATGAACCACCTGCCCGAGCTTCCCTGCCTAAAGGCAGCAAATCCCTGGCAGCATCATTTGGTTGGTCAGTCATGTTGGTCGGGCAAGGACATTTTAAATTCAACATGACTCAACAAAGCAATGTGATAATGTGTGTATACAAATGTCATGTGTGTTCTGCTTTTTTTTTGGGTGGACGCGCCCCAGCGAATTGTTGTCCATGGTTCTTCACGCATGTGTCAGTCAAGCAATGTTCAGTTGTGAGGGGAAAAGGATAGAACCGGATTGGCAATGATCAATGTCTGGGAGAAGAACAACTGGCCATTCGGCAGAGGTGGAATCGATGATTGGATTCAGGTTTTTGGCTTCACTGTTCCTAAGAACTCGGAGGTCCTAAGTCCAAAGACAAGAGATTGAGTATCAAAAAAAAGTCAAAATGCAAGGAATTCACGAGTTTCTCCACCTTTGAGTTGGCTGTGCCCTGCAAATCACCTTGTGGTTCACCGGGTCACTTGAGCCTAAAAGAAAAGGCCCTTTGTTGTACTTGGTTCCACTTAGTACTATCCTACAAAGGCAATAGCACATAGAGGAACCACTACAATTTTATTGTAGTAATGGCACTTGTTTCTACTAGCTTCTTGTTCCTAGTAGTAAGGCACTGGTTTCTAGTAGCGTGGCACTTGCTTCTACTAGCTTCTTGTTGTGCTCAAAATTGTACAACATGTCTTACAGGACGGTGAACAACCTGATGGGCCCTTTGTATCTTCGCCTGTAGATGGCCCGGTCGCTCGGTGGATGAGCAGGTGGACCACCAGACTTCGCAACCTGAACATCATACGGTGGGAAGGCTCTCTATGGGTCTCTTGAAGTCTCTTGATCTTGCTGGAGAACCTTTGCTTGTCATCTCTTCCTTGTGTTAATCTTTATCTCCAGTGACAACCCAAACCGCCCAGTGAAGAAATCTGCGGTTCGCGAAAACATCGAAATCTTGAGGAAACTGTCTGAGAGTTGTAGTTGCTATCTGATTGGGTTTTCTATCAACAAGGAAGGCCTCAGCTCCTTCTGATGTTGTGCTTTGACATCACGTTGTGTGCTGGCAGCCCAGCTTCTTGATATGGGTTCCATGTGTCTTAGGCACAAAGGCATGGTCAATCATACATCCGGTTCAGCTCAGATGGTTGAGGATGCTGTATCAATATCACTGCATTCTTTCAGGTGGGTGAACTCGATCCAGATTCTTTGCATCAGACCTTCTGGTTCTTTCGAACTCGGGCCTGCGGAGGCGGCTAATATGCAACAAAACAGCAACAAAGATTGCAAGATATTGCAAGACATTCCGCCAACACTGCAAAACCCGTCATCTGATTCTGTTTACTTCCGGCTCCGTAGCATCCCTCCGTTCGCGAACACTGCAAAGCCATTTCAGGTCTCCAGCATTGGGCGTTGCTCGACAAGGGCACAGTCGCGCCTGGAGGTATGCTCGGCGCTGCGTAAGTCTTCAGAAGGAAAGGGTTTAAAAATTGGGTTGATAGCCTAATGCATGGACACAACCGTAGTTTCAGCAGAGGTGTTTTGGAACCTTATGACCATCCATCACTTGTTTCAGGATGTTTCAGGTTGTGCCACATGTCACACTGTGCAAAGAAGCTTTGCCTCACAAGAACACTGATTACTGACAAGTAAACAACCGCTGGTAGGAAAAAACAGTTACGGTAGCATAAAGGAACGGACTGAACCCAACAATTGACAAACACAAGATAACACGCCCCCACACTGCCGTGTGTTTGGGACATGTTTTGTTGATAAACATAGTGTTTTACTTGGCCTTGAAAAAGGTTAAGAGGCCAAGGACAACCATGAGTTTTAAGATGTTTTAAGTCTAAAGAGAGGAAGCAACTTTTTTTTCCAGAGCGGCGCGTGAGCGCATGTGGTATCATCTTCCAAGCACATCCAACCAAACGTAATTACCCCGCCACCCAACCCCACCCCCGAACCCTCATCTTCCAAAGCATCTGTGCATGTGGCATCATCTTCCAAGTATATCCAACACACTTTTACCGGCGAGTGCAAACATTCCGAAATGCAGGGGAATTCAATCCAAACACACACAAAAAGGAACTGCCAGAACGAAAGCAGCTTGTCTGTCCTGATTCAACACAGCAACATGCGAAAATGTAAAGGTGCTATCTTTAATGCCAAGTGCGATGACATTGAACAAACTGTTGGTGGTTTGATATAACATGCACAACTAGTTGTCAACCCGCTAGCATGAAATTCAAATGCTCATTTTCGCCCCGGTGGCCTTCCGGAAACCAATTGCTCCAAAACGTACGGCGGTGAAGGGCGTGACACCAAAAACATGACCTCATTGGGTCTGTAGGCTGCCGACCAATCGCTGGTGTGAAGCATGGCATCTGGGCCTGAGAGGAAGCGAAAGAGAGGAGGCACAAGCGCTCGATGCCTTGTGAGGCAGCGGAAATTGGTTTTGAAGAACACCCGTGCAAACGAAAAGGTGATAACCCTGCTTGACACTGCTTGACCTTCATATATGCCTTCATTCTGGATCTTATGTTGCTGCATGTCACAAAGAGTCCGAGTGCCCTGACGGTTGAGCGAGGTTGGCTGCAAAAAGGCAACTCCCCAAGGAGGGGCTGTGTTCCTCCTCGGTTGAGCTGGGTGCAGGGGCCGTAGCAGTGTGACACAGTGTCTGCAAGTGCAAACGGAATCTCAGCCAAGGGCTGTCTTGACGAACTCATTTAATCTATGAGTCTAGCTATGTGAGGCGTGCCCATGCCGTTATCGTTGCTTAATCAGGCGGTGAAGTACAAACAACTCGGCGTTCCTCTGAAGGAAATAAGTGTCAAGGCCACTGTCCAAAATTCTACTCAACGTTCATTCAGTCAGTGTTCTGTAACCAGCTGGGGTCAAACACAACTTCAACTGTCACAGACTGCTGGCCTTTCATCCAAGCAAAACCAACAACATACCCACATGATATTTGTTTCCTCGAAGGCCATGCATTCATGAGTCCAGAAGTGGCAAATCAACCCTTCTCAAACATGTTTTTTCAATACCCCACCGACTCCTCAAAACCTTGGAGAAATTCGACAACACCTTTCATAAAAAGACACCTGCCCGATGCAACATCTTTCTCACAACACCCTCATGGTTTACCTATATAGCTCTCTCCAACTGCTTCCTGCCAATCAATGGTCCCCACGTTCAACGTCCGAGCAGCAAAGTTGAACTTACCTTTGAAGTTCAGTTCAAACTCTGGCACCTCAGGGGTGACACAGGACGGTTGATGAAAGGGGGGAGTGCTTGAGAGTCATGTGGCATTGCTAGGCGCTGACAGTGTGTTGGGCATGGTCGCCGTTCGGCGATCATCCTCATGGAGCCCGTTTTCGGACGGGCCGATGGGCTGGCGGGTAATATATGATTCTTTCACAACGCTGGGGATTCCAACCTACTAGCGATGGCTCCAACCTAATTACTAGCGATGGCCATGATTCTGATGATTCTTTCACAACACCAGTTCTTTCGTTCTTTCAGTTGTTGAAACAATTGCGGGCTGTGAAGTTGCAGAATGCACCATGAATGGCTCCAGCTGTGCTGGAACGACTTTCTCAACTCACCAAATGAAAGCGGCAACGGATGATTCCGTCAGGAACCCCACTTCGGCCGACAACTGCGCATCCACAAGCACCACTGCGGGATAGTCCTGGCGTGTGCGCCGTGTGTGCCTAGCAGATTGGCATGAACACTGACTGAATCCGATGATTACTTGTGTGACTTATGTGCATATGTCATTGGTTACAAGCCTACACAAGCCTGATAGTCTAAGGATGTCCAAGGAGTCGAAAAAGCAAGTTCCGCTTCCAACACCGGGAGGTTAAGGCTCACAGGGTGAGGTTGGACTTTCAGGCATGGTCCAAATTCGTGGTCACGATCTCCTGACCATCTGATGCCAAACACTCGCCACAAGCATCTGGCCCCAGAATTTGCCGCATCGATGAACAGCCCTTGGCAAAGGTGGGAGATTCCAAGATTCGAGACTTCAGAAAGGTCTAAGTCTTTAACCCTCGGCAAAAAACTGCCAAAATATTCCTTCACTTGAGGTTTGTCACGCTGCAAATCCGAGAGTACCCAATGAGATGGTAATTAAGAAAGAAGTAATTCAGTGCAGGGAGATTCTAGGAACGAAGACCTAATGCACTTTATTGACTCCAGACTCCAGAGGCCATTGCTATTAGGTTGGAGGCACCTAATAGCGAAGGGTATACAATGGCTGTCCTCAGCAAAATAGGACGAACGAAACATTAAGTTCTCAGTATGGATCTGCTCTATAAGTGCATGTCCCAAAGACTTCTGTCGGATCGACTAAAGCCCCCAAACAAAAAGGGAATAAATACCATGCGAGCTTTCATTTGGTATGAGTGGTATGAGTCGAGTCTTTAGTTGTGACCATGTTTGAACAAATTATGCAATAGTTCATATATCGAAATATCATATTGTCAGCGCATAGGATCGCATAAATAGTTTGCAGGGATTAATGCATGCTCAAATGGATCTTTGAATCGGCATCCCTCGCAGAACACTAGCGTCTAGAGTGCCCGGCGTTCAGGAACAACAAGTCTGCATCATGACACCTGTCACATCTCCACATCTGAATCAAACGATCGCTATCACTTGATGATACTTGATGCTTTGGCTATCTTTCAATAACTCAGCTGATGCAAGACAATGCATCTTTTTTTCTATTAGAAACCGTGCTTTTCGCTGTTTTGTCCAGCAGCCCGGGTCACCACTTGCTGCCTGAAAGCGCCCACTTCACGCGCACAGGTCACGTCGCAGCTTTGGCCCAAGTGTCCAACCTGAGAACGCTACAGCACTCTCTCTCTCTCTACGGCTGTGACAGCTCGCTACAGCTGTGACATTCTACGTCTTGCAATGTCTTGCGAAGTCGTAAGGGGAGTGGGAGAGGTAAGAACATGAGCTTCAGCGGCTTTGGCCCCCTGAAGCGCTCGGATCGGTATGTTCTCCGCTATCCAAAGTCAACAGTGACGGCAAAGTCACTGCAAGACCCAAGTCGTGCCACTGGTGACGCAATGTGCTGTTTATCGGATATGAGCCAGATCAACCAGCATCGACTAGAGTCACTAGAGTAGAGCAGCTGCAAGCTTCTTTTGGACGGCGTTGGGTGCCAAATTATATCTCTTCTCCAAGGAAGCCGCCATGCATAGCCACCGAGGTCAAATTGAGGCAAGACACGAGAAGAACCCTGTCGCCGCAACAAACCAAATGAGGTTTCACCAGTTGCCTCTGTTCAAAGCCCTTCTACTACAGGGACTCAGGCTCCAAATGAAGCGTCCCCACGTTCCAACCCATCGGCATCGTGACCAAGTTGCCACCACGGACACCACCGGTGCTCGGAGCACCGGAGCTGCGACTTGGAAGTCCTGGGGATGAAAGGCTGCGCTGAGCGACTCGCCAGTTTGGACTTGGAGGCCATTGCTTTTAGGTTGGAGGCTGCAGGTTTCCTCTGATCATCCCACCGACCCTCAGCCATGACGAGCCGCCTGTACCTTCTTGGGCGCTGCGGTGGGAATCTCGGCCGATGCCCTCAGGTTGGGCATGCTGTACGCCACAGGCTATTCCATTGTCATTCTATGCTAAACACATGCGAGTTCTGATGGTGCCAACCAATTTGTTTAACATGTTTAACATGTTCAACTTGTTTGGAGCGTTGAACGTTTGGCATTTGTAGAGGAACAAATGCCTACTTACTTCAGACGGTTGTATGAATATGCCCATGATTTCCCGAACAAGACACTCTTCAACTCTCTTGAATCCAATCAAGCTTTGGTTCCCCAATACGCCGTTCTCACCAGATTTTCCGCCCTGCGGTCGAGCTGCAAAAGGGGCGAGTTGGACAGCAGCAAGTGCAGCACGGCGTTTCTCCAACGGAGCCTGGTGAAAATGGCTTGGACTCCAAACCCTGTCGCCAGGGTGACTAAGTCTCCGGGGAGAGGCCACAAAGTCAGTCTTTTGGTGACTGCCAAGAGCCTTCCAGTTGACTCAGTTGCCATTGTGAAGGACTCCAAGAAATTGAACGGAGTCCAAATCATAAGGGCTCAATTGATGTAAGCTTCAAGTGTGCATCATTGTGTCTTGCAAAAGGGTTGCAGCCCTACTTCATCAGGTGTTTCTACTGGTAGTTTTGACTAATGCAGTTGCAATTGTGTGTCGTGTGTTGGTTCCTCTCGCTTCCAAGCCTTCTCTATGACCATAGAAGCTTCACTTCAAAACCTCATCCAACCCACATCATTCCACATCCGGACAGTCGTCGAGCCACGTCGAGCCTCAGGTAACCTCTGTATGAAGCTGGTAAATGGATCTCCTGCATTCGGCTTCGACCCGGGGTTCCCACGCCATGTCACAAAAGCTTCGGGGTCAAATCATGATACACAAGGAATGTGTATCAACATGTGTATCAGCCTAATGATCTACTCCGGAAGTGGAAGGACTGTACATTCCTGTAAAGCCAGAAGCCCATCTACGGAACTGCACTGACCTTTTCACATCTTTTCACTGCTTCCATGTCTCCGACCAAAGCTAAAGGATGTCGAATTTCTATGAAGTTGGGAAGGACGTCCCGAGTGCCGATGGTGTCTTGTCAGATCTTGTCTGGCTGAAATGAAGCTTTAAGATGCTTTAAGATGTTTCAACCAAGCTTTCTTTCATCATCATGGATCTTACATGATCTTACACTCTGATCTGATCTTTCCAGAACTCCCCCTGGCCCTTTCGTGCCTTGGTGGAAGGCAGTCGCAGGAAGGAAGCTGCCTTTGACCACTGGCGGTCCTCCTGTTTAGAACGTCACATGTAGCTGATGAATCACCGCACACGACGCTGAATAAATGATTAAAGTGCAGGATTAAAGAGAACCTCAGGAATTAAGACCCCGCAAGACCTCAAAGGCCCCCCTAACAGTAGTAGCTAGAAGCTACTAGTAACAAGCGCATCGCTACTAGTGGCTTCTTGTTACTAGTACTAATGCCCTTGCTACTAGTAGCGATGGACATGTTACTAATTAGTAGCTTCTAGCTACAAGTAAGAATTGTGAATCCACTCTAACTTGCAAAGTTCAGGCTGCACGCCCAAGAGTTTCCTTCCAGCCTGGACATAGTTTCAAGTGCTCTCGCAAACGAGAGCAAATCAATCCGCGGAACGCGTCGAAAGTGGGGCTCCAGAACCAGGTGCCAATTCCCCTCCGTGACTTTCAACAGCTGGCGAAACGTGGTCCGGTTGCTCTTCACCTGCATGCTTTGGCACCGTTCTACCTTTTTCCGAGCCTTTTGGGATCACCCACAATTCTGCCAGGTTGGTCAAATCATGAACCAAAAGGATGTTGATTTTAACATGTGATTCGCAGCGGTCAACCACATGAAACACATCCTCTTTCTACAATGAGGCCTTGGAGAAGCCGCGTGTCGGTGCAAATCCTAGCTTGCACGTTTACACGTGTCTTGCGAAGAGCACCTGTTCATCAATTCACAACAAGACTGGCACTTGCCAGGGATTTCATGTCTAGTTTCAACTTACATCTATGCAAAAACAAGGGCATCGTAAGCTCTGACACTCGTAAGCTACTAGTAACAAGAAGCTATTAGAAACGAGTGCCACGCTACTGGGAACAAGTGCCTTACTAGTAGTAACAAGAAGCAATTCGGAACAAGTTTCGGATCTGACGGAGGAGCAAACCTTTTCTGGTGGAAGTGTTCGCCAACAAGCCGTCACCAACATCTGAGACCCTCGCTAAAGCTTCATCTCCCGGCCAGTCATGCAGCAAGAGCTTTTCATAAGACCTCCCGGTACCAAATGATCGATGTGTCAACATATACTGTAGTTCTAGGTACGGGAGATGGGGTAGCCTGTTCTGGATAGAGGACAACTCCCCAAAATCAAGAAATTGCAGGAACATTGACAGGAAGAAATGGGGCACTGACCAGTTGTTAGGGGAACGAAGTTCGGCCAGTTTCGCATGCGGGCTGAATTTCATCCAATGGGAGCCCGTTCAGAGCTTTTGCTTGGAGTTCCAGCTAGAAGGGTGGGCGTGGTAGTCTGAAACCAGCCTTCTTGGATCAACAAGCTGCTGACCATGCTCTCCTAATTACACCTCTATATATCTCAGACAATGTCTCGGCTCACAGCTGAAATGCATGCTGCCGTCTATCACTTTGAGATGCTACCTTGCTCACGACAAGATCCGCTGTAAACATCCCCCCAATGACATTGGACAAATTGATAATAATGTGGAACACACGACACCCGTTTCCCTTACAAAAGGACAGCTACTAGTAACAAGTGCATCGCTACTATGAACAAGGGCATGGCTAGTAGTAGCTAATTTGCTACTAGTAACAAGAAGCTACTAGCAAGGTGAATAGCTACTAGGAACAAGGGAATCGCTACTAGTAATTAGCTAGAAGC